ATTTAGGATGTTCTTGCACAATTTGATCTCGACGATGTAATAAAAGAATTTGATAAGAACACGTCAACACAATGGAAGAATGAGGAAAAATGTAAGAATCGTAAAGCTCGTTCACAAATTTGTTTACACCTATCAAAACATATTTTACAAGATGTACTGAAGGAGCATACGACTTCTTCGTTGTGGGTGAAGTTTGAGCAACTATGCATATAGAAAACATTAACCTACAAGTTGCACTTAAAGTAATGTCTTTATTTTCTCAAGTTGACAGATGGTTCGTCTCTTGAAGAGCACCTAACCGCATTCAAGGAAATTATCTCTGATCTAGAGACTTTAGAAGTGAAGTATGACCAAGAAGACGCATGATTGATCCTCCTATATTCCCTGCCTCATTCTTACTCATCTTTTAGAGTTAACCATGTATTGTCACAAAATAATCAGTCTTGAAGAAGTGTACAATGACTTGAACTTGTTTGACAAAATAAAATATCTTGTATCTGGTTCCAAGCCCTAGACATAGGGTCTCGTGGTGCATGGATCGACTAGCTCAAATTGTGGAAGAAAATATGAGCATTCTTCTAGTTATATAGGAATGAGTAGATCAAAATCTTCCAATCGAGGAAAAACTTGTCACTTTTGTAAAAAGAAAGGTCATTTAAAAATAGTGTTACAAGATAAAAAATAAAATTAAAAGAGAAGTTGAAGAGCATAACTCTGAAAAATCTGATGAGACGATGTAGCGGAGAAGTGCGATGACGGAGAACTCCTAGTTGCGGCTGGCGAAAACTCTATAATAAGTGACAAGTAGATACTTGACTCGGGTAGCAGTTTTTATATGAGTCCCAATCGTGACTGATTGCGACGTATAAAGATGTATTTACAGGTGATATATTTTTGGAAAATAATATCCCTTGTAAAGTCGTATGTATTGGTACAATCAGGATTAAGATGATCGATATAATTGTTTCAACACTTGGTAATGTGAGACGTGTTCCAAATTTAAACCTAATTTCGTTAGGTACCTTAGATTCAAAAGGATATATGTTAACCACGTAAAAAAGTTATATATCATGAATTTTACTTAGATTATTGGTTGTTTAAAGCCCATTTAGTTGCATATAGTTGCATGTAGCTCATTTATTTGAATGCAGTGGTGTTTTCTTGCTTTATTTTATTTATTTATGAAATTGGTTCTACTTTGAGAGAAATGATTTGTTTTGGTGTGGTGATGTGCAGGTAACTTAAGGAGAACTACTAGAGGACGGACTTATGCTATACATTTTGGATGACATTTTTGGGTGCACTAGAACACAAAAAAAATGAAGTTATTTTGTAGCCCACTCATGTTACCCCCGCAAGATGTGTCCAAGATGTGAAGGGAATCTTTTCATAGGGCATACAAAATTATGGGAACAAAACCCTAGGAGCTCCTAATATTTAAAGCTAAGGACACCACATTTATTGAAGGAATGGAATGTGTGAGATAAAAAAGAGAAAAGTGAAAATTATCACTATTTCTACTCTTCTTCATTATGGTGACCTCCATTGTTAGAACTCCAATGAGATAAAGCTTGTTGGTCTTTTAAAGAAGTAACAAAGCTTTGGGTGGTTCACGGTAGCTCTTATCTTACGAGTTTTCTTCCTCTTATAGTTTCTTTTCATTTCTTTATCTTTTCTGCTATGGGTTGTGTTAAACGAATGATTATGGATTCTCTTTACCCAGTCGTGAACTAACTTAGCTTTGATTGAATTTATTTTGGATGATGATTTTTTTAATGAACGTTGAAGCATTTCTATTTTCTATACATGCTTTGTTAACTGTTTTATAGCTTAGATTTGTAAGAGTTTTCGAGAGATAGTCTTTATCTATGGTTGATGCTTAATATTGATAGAGTTAAACTTAGATCTACGTGAACAATAAGGTTGATATGAGAAGCAAAACCCTAACTCACTTTAGATATAAGGATAGGGTTTCAACGAATAAAAGGAGTATTGCTTATTCGATAGCATCATGCTAGGGCTCACGCTGAGAGATATTGCTTTAGCATTTTCACTGTCAGGTTTATTACTAGAGGTAGCCTATAAACAATTTTGAAAACTATGTAAATCATTGTATTAATTGGAAAATATTAAACATTCATTAAGGGCAAGACATATGATTCCAAGATAGACCCAACATTCTATATTTCTTGAGAGTTTCACACATGTAAGATTGTGTCGTTATCTTATCTCGTGCATCCATTTCTCAACGCCAGTTTTGTTGCAACATTAACTTACCTTATCTTTTTGTTACAATATTTCACACTCTTCAATATTTTGCCAAAATATTCACATCACCTTGTTCATACCATTATATACTTTATTTGTTTATAGTTTAAGTGCGCATACTTTACTTGATTTCCCTCAAATCTCGTGGAGACGATACTCACTCATCACTTTATTACTTGTTGGGCGTGTAGACTTGCACAACTTATGTATCATAATATAGTACATTAACACACGTAACAGGTTTTTCGGCGTCATTGCTGGGGATTGACAATTGGTGATTCTAAGTTTAGTTATTGCATTGTTTTATTTATTTTTTTGTATATATTTACTTGTTATTTTTATTTGCCTTTTTCAGGTGTTGTGCTGTTGCATGAACCATAGAGGATATAAGAAACCATTGTTACCATTTGAACTTAAGATCGAACAACTTTTTTGTCAAATAAGACATATTCAAAGAGCTCAAAGAGCCATGTACGGAGTTCAAAACCAAGGAGGTCAACAAGTAGAGGATCCTAAAGATCCTAATGCTATAGTAATTCAAAATAAAGAAATTGTAGCTTGTCCACATGCTATTAGAGATCATTTATCTCCCATCTTGGATGACCTCAACCCTGTTATTACAGCTCCCAAGATTTAGGCAACCCACTTTGAGCTAAAACCGGTGATGTTCAACATGTTGAACTCGATTGAACAATTTAATTGTGTGCCTCATGAAGATGCAAGGCAACATATTAGATCTTTTTTTTGGAGGTTTATGATTTATTTTGACAGCAAAGAGTGCACGAGGATGTGTTGAAGCTCAATTTATACCCATATTCTTTTTAAGATCGAGTAAGGATATGGTTTAGTGGAGTTCCATCCAGTTTGATGAAATCATGGTTAGATTTGTGCAAAAGTTTTTTGTTGTGGTATAATACACCAACATGAATACCCAAAATAAGTAATGACATTGATTCCTTTTGTTAAACTGATGATGAGTCAATATTTAAGTGTCATGATATATACAATGGACTGTTTCACAAGTGTACGAACCTTGGATTCCATGATTAGAGGAAAGTTTTTATTTTCTACAATGGTGTAAATACCCCAACAAGGATGATGCTAGATGCTTCAACAAATGAAACTTTATTGGACAAGTCTCCTGACGAAGCATTTGATATACTTGATAGGATAACAAACAATGACTATTAATTTCCTTCTTCGAGACTAGGAATGAGGAGGAAAGCTCGAGGAACATTTGAATTGGATACTAAAGATTCAGTTTCAACTTAATTATCAGCCATTACCAACATGTTAAAGAATATTCAGTATCCTAATAAAGTAAAGGAACTCAAGGTTGCAAGTTCTTCTTATGTTATTTGTAATAAAAATCATCATGTGAGCGAGTTCCTCGAAACCACGAGTCTACCAACTATGTGGGGAACTTCAATAAGAGTAGCAACAATCTCTACTCGAACATTGATAACAAATGATGACGCCAATATCCAAAATTTTCTTGGGTGAATAAAGGAACTAACAATACTGGTAGCTCGAATTGATAACAAAATTTGACTGAACCCCTAAGTTTTCAACAAAATATATCGTGGCAAAATAACAACTAGGGGTTAACATCTTCATTGAACACCAACTCTTTAGAAGCTACGCTCTAAGACTTTATGATGAATACGAAGGCTCTATTTCAAGACCACGCCGCATCTATTGAGAGCCAAAGGACATTAATGCAAAGTCATAGTTCACCTTTGCAAGCTTTGGAAACCCAAGTGGGTTAAATCGCACAAGCTTTGCATGTTCGACCTTAAGGCAGTTTACCAAGTGACACTAAAGTCAATAAAGCTTATGGAAAGAAGTAGTCTAGTGAACTTACTTTAAGGAGTGGAACCCAACTTAACAAAGAAGATAAGTTTGGGGGGAAGAAAATAGATGATCCCAACCCTAAGATTATATAAGAAGATATATCTCCGGAGAAAGAAAAGAATGAGGGCTCAACAAATGAACCCACTAATGGAAGACATAATATTGCTACAACAAAAGTTATATCCCTACCAGTAGAAGAAGAATTCAGACATCCACCACTATTCTCTCAAATATTGAAGAAACAAAATCAACACATTTAGTTCAAGAAATTTGTAGATATCCTTAACTAGTTGTATATCAATTTCCCATTTCTAGAGGTCGTTGATCAAATGCCTACATATGTGAAATTTCTAAAGGATGTCGTCATGAAAAAGGGAAGGTTAAGAAGTATGAAACTGTTGCTACAACAAAAGAATGTTATTTTATGCTGAGAAAGCTACCACCTAAGAGAAAGGATCAAGGTAGCTTTATCATTCCCTGCTCTATAGGCAGTATTTATGTGGGAAAAGCTTTATGCAATCTTGGATCTAGTGTCAATTTAATGCCCAAATCAATGTTTATGAAGATCGTTATGGGAAATGCAAGACTGACAACTTTTATTTTGCAATTAGACTGATCCCACATTCAATCTGAAGGGAGAATCGAAGATGAAGGTGGATAAATTTGTTTTCCCAATTGATTTCCTCATCCTTGATTGCGAAGCTAATAATAATGCACCCATAATTTTGGGGCGACCATTTCTAGCCATCAACCAAATTTTAATCAACTATGAAATAGGTGAATTCACCATGAGAGTTGCTGATTAGAGTGTGACCATCAATGTATTCAACACCCTTAAATATGTGGATCCTTACGAGGAATGTTAATGTCTTCAAGAAATGGAATCGACAGTAGAAGAGGAAGCTACAAAATTTTTCTGCAACAAGTTTTTACATAAAGACTATTTAAAGCTCAATGAAGATGGAAATGAGGAGCTCAAGGATTTCCCAACGGAGATAGAACAATCTAGCTTATTCATAGCTAGACTAGGTACGTAATTTAAACCTTTAGGTTTTGCTGAATTTATTCCTCTAAAACTCTCACTTGAGCATGCACCTACTTTAGAATTAAATCTTTTTCCATCTCACCTTAAATATGCTTTTTTGGATTGCAATGAAACTTTGCATGTGACAATCTCTTATAGTCTTAAGCCTGAACAAGAATGTAGCTTAATAATTGTGTTATCACAACATAAAAAAGCTTTAGTTTGGACTATGACTAACTTGAAGGGTATAAGCCCTACTATTTATATGCACAAAATTCCACTTGATGAATGTCACAATAATTCCATTGAACCCCAAATAAGGCTCAATCCAGTTATAAAGAAGGTGGTGATGAAGAAGATCATTAAATGGCTCGATGCTCGAATTATCTAACTGATACCCAACAGTTCATGGGTCAGCCCTGTACAATGTGTACCCAAGAAATGAGGTGTGACTGTGATGAGCAATGAGGACAACTAACTCCTACCTACAAGAACCATCATAGAGTGGAGGATTTGTATGGACTATTGAAAGCTCAACAAGGAAACCAAGAAAGATCATTTCCCCTCTCTTTCATCGATCAAATGCTAGATCGATTGATGGGAAAAGCCTTTTATTTCTTTCTCGATGGATATTCAGGGTACAACCAAATTGTTATATCACTAGAGGATTAAGAGAAGCTAACCTTTACATGCCCCTATGGTACTTACGCTTTTAGGATAATTGCCTTTGGAATTTGCAACACTCCTACTACTTTTCAAAGGTCTATGTTGGCCATCTTTTCAGACATGGTAGAAGAGTTTTGAAGATCTTCATTGATGACTTTTCCATCTATAGAAATGACTTTGACTCATGCTTGGGCAATATAACAAATGCCTTAAGAGATGTGAAGAAGTAGACTTAGTGCTAAATTGGGAGAAGTGCCATTTCATGGTGGCTGAAGGGACCGTTTGTAGATCACAATGTCTCACAAAAAAGGATAGAGGTGGAAAACGTAAAGGTTGAGGTGATTGAAAAGCTACCTCTACCCACCACAGTGAAGGGCATTCGAAGTTTTTTGGGATATTCAGGATTATATAAGAGATTCATAAATGACTTCTCCAAGATCTCCAAGCCATTGTGCACTTTTCTACAGAAAAATCAACCCTTCATGTTTTATGAAAATTGCTCTAGTGCATTCAAGGACTTAAAGGATCAACTCATCTCAACACCCATAGTTGTTCCCCCCGATTAGACTTCACCATTCGAGCTTATGTGTAATGCAGCGACTTTGATATGGGAGCAGTACTTGGGCAGTGTTAAGGTAAGATCTTTCATGTTATTTATTATGTTAGCTGTACTTTAAATTATGCACACATCAATTACACAACCACTGAGAAAGAATTGCTACCTTTAGTATTTGTATTTAATAAGTTTAGGGCATACTTGATAGGCACCAAGGTTATTATACATATTGATTATTCAACCATTAAATTCTTAGTGACTAAAAATGATGTTAAACTTAGACTTATTAGGTGTATACTTCTCTTGTAAGAATTTGAATTAGAGGTTAATGATAGAAAGAGTATTGAAAATCAAGTTGTCGATCATCTTTCTAGGCTAGAGAATAAGAGTGAATGCGATGAAAAACTAGAAATTAAGGAGGAATTTTCTGATAAAAAAAGTATTTACTTCGGTAATTCAGTAGTAGCTGATATTGTTAACTTTTTCGTTAGTTTTATTTTGCCTCCTAATTTAAATAGCCAAGGAAAGATAAAATTTAGACATGATGTGAGATTTTACTATTGGGACGAGCCTTATTTGTTCAAGCAATGCGTCGATCAAATGATTAGAAGGTATGTCCCCGAAGAAGAGCAAAAATAAATCTTATTTCATTGCCACTCATCTTCATGTGGAGACCATTTTGGAAAAGAAATACTAAAAAAGTCCTACAATTTGAATTCTATTAGCCCACACTCTTCAAGGATGCACACGAATTCTACAAAGCTTGTGATAGGTGCCAAATAACGGGGAACATATTCAGAAGACATGAAATGCCATTACAAAATATCTTGGAGATGGAGCTCTTTGACGTATGAGGAATAGACTTCATGGGACACTTCCCTTCAACATTTGGAGATCTTTACATTTTATTATCAGTGGATTACATGTCTAAATAGGTTGAGGCAATGGTTACACCTACGGGCATTCAAGCAGTTGGTTTGGTTAATTGACAGAACCGAACTTTCAAAATTTCATTAATTGATTTTATTTTTGTTTTAACCGTTAATTGAGCTGAATTTTTTTGAAAATAATTAACCGAACCGAATAAGGTTCGATTAATCGGTCGGTTAACTGAATTAAGCAAAATTTTAAATAATATATATAAAATAAATATTTAATATTTTTGGCTAATCCGATTGATTAATTTGGTTAAAATCAAAATTTAAATAACCTAAAGCTATTAATATATAAATAATTTATTAAAATTTTTAATTAATTAGGTTAATTAACCGACTTCAAACCGAATTAACATATAACCGAACTTTGAAAAAAGCATTAACAGTTAACCAATCGAACCTAAAATTAACTGGTCGATCAACCGAAAAAAATTCCAATTCGATCTGTTTAATCAATTAATCAAAATTTTGAACACCCCTAGCTACACTAAAGAATGACTCCAAGACATTCTTAAAGTTTATTCACAAGAACATCTTCATAAGATTTGAAGCCCCAAGGCCATCATAAGTGATGAAGGAACCCATTTCGACAACAAATCTCGTTGCTAAAGTATTGCAAAGATACGGGGTGAGGCATAAAATTGCTAAACATACCACTCCCAGACTAATGGCCAAGCTTAGATCCTCAATTGAGAGACAAAACAAATACTAGAAAATGTGGTGAATCCCAAAAAGGAAAAGCTAGTCTCCAAGGCTTGATGAAGCTTTATGGGTGTATCGAACATCCTTCAAGACACCTCTTAGAATGTACCATTTGAAGGTTGTTTATGGCAAAGCATGTCACCTCCCGGTCGAGTTAGATCACAAGGCCTATTGTACTATTAAAAAGCTCAATATGGATATCCAACTGGTTGGAGAAAAAAGGTTATTGGAGTTGAATAAGATGGAGGAATTTCGAGCCCAAGCTTATGAGAATGCATATTTGTTTAAGGAGAAAACAAAGAAGTGGTATGACAAACATCTTTTGCCACAACATTTTTATGAAGGACAACAAGTCCTCCTTTACAACTCTAGGCTCAAGATATTCCCTGGCAAGCTCAAATCACGATGCTCTTTACCCAACCATGAACTAACTTAGCTTGGCTTGGGTTTATTTTGGATGATGGTGTTTTTGTTTTAATAATGTTGAAGCATTTCTAGTTTATATACATGCTTTGTTCACTATTTTATAGCTTAGATTTATAAGAGCTTTTGAGATATAGCCTTTATCTATGTTTGATGCTTAATACTGAGAGAGTTAAGCTTAGATCTATATGGACAATGGGGTTAAGTTGGAAAGCAAAACCACTCGCCTTAGAGATAAAGATAAGGTTTTAACAAGTAAAATGAGCATGGCTTATTTGATAGTATCATGCTAGGGTTCACGCTGAGAGGTATTGCTTTAGCATTTTCACTGTCAGGTTTCTTACTAGAGATAGCCTAGAAACAACTTAGAAAACTCTATCAAGCATTCTATTAATTAGAAAATATTAAATATTCATTAGGGACAATACATAGGATTCCAAGATAGACCCAATCTTTTATCTTTCTTGAGAGTTTTACACATGTGAGGTTGTGCCATTGTCTTATCTTGTGCACCCATTTCTCAACATAAACTTTGCTACAACATTGCTTTACCTTACCTTTTCGTTACATATTTCACACTCTTCAATATTTTGCCACAACATTCAGATCACCTTGTTCATACCATTATATACTTTATTTGTTTATAGTTGAAGTGCACCTACTTTACTTGATTTCCTTTCAATCCATACAGAGACAATATTAGCTCATCACTTTATTACTTGTTCGACATGTATACTTGCACAATTTGCGTATCATAATATAGTACACTCACACACGCAACAATATAAATTCTTTAATGAATGCGAAGTTACGAAAATTCGCAAGGGCTCTCTTATTGTGATGAAATGGTAGAGAAAGACTGCCAAGTGTTATGTTCTGTATGGTTCAATAATTTTAGATAATGCATATGATGTTTCCTCCGCCATGTCAAATAACGTTATTACAGTTAAAAATGTCTTGACTAAATTAAGGAAAAGAATATTTTTTATGGAATAAGATAAACGTTGGTAGAATGGTTATGTGAAGCAGAAAAAAGTAAAATTTCGTGGGCATAACGAATTTGAAAATAGAATTATCATTGATGATCAAGATCATGTTGTGCATGATATTGCTCATGGTGATACATTTGTGATCAAAGTTAGGACTTATGATAGCCATGTCAATGTGGAGACTAAATCCAAGCTTAAAAAACTTGGATTAGGTCGGTGTCCATTACTTAAGATTACCCCTTTGAGGGGTGTTGTGGAGGACGTGGAGAACTTGTTCGTTGAAGTGAATATTTTTTTGGTTGAATTTGGGTGCCTCATCGAAATTGAGTGTTTTATCTCGAAACCTTTGTACTTTTAGAATTTGCGTCAAGGTGGAAATTTGTTAGAGTTTGACTCGAATTTAAAGTGACAAAAATTAATTAATATATAAATTTGAGAAAGTAAAAAACCTAGTTTGATTAAAAATATATAACTTTAATAGTAGATTTCTACTTTATTTAGTTCTTTTGTAACCATGTATATATCTTTATAAATAGATACTAAGGGTAAGGGTTAAATATTAAGTTTTTCTCTCTAAAATCCTATCATATTTTATTCCTTCGTATTAGTGAAATTCTTCTCATATGCATGTGATTTGTCCCTCTTGATTTTTCCACGTTTGTTTTTTTTTCAATCGTGTTTTTTTATTTGCTGATATTCGTTCTAATATTATAATATTTTATATATTCAATAAAATTAACTATTATGATTAATTAAAAATCATCTACCATTAATTGGCCCAAAAACGAGCCCAAACAATGAGTGGATAATTAATATCAAAATCATAGGAGACAGGCCTGAAACAAATCCATAAATAATAAGATCATAGAAGAAATAGCGCTGGAGATCAAAGTCGAGAAAAAGTACAGCTGAAATCTCATACGAATTGCCCAGTTCCGTTTGGAGTGGTTTTCATACATGTACGAAGAAAATTAAATAAATAAATAAACTACGGAACGAGTCAGAAGTGAGACACTTGTGTGAGAGTGAGAGTGAGAGTGAGAGTGAGTGTGGACACAAATTTTCTTTTTTGACCCAAGAAAGAAAATAACAAAAGGAACAGCCCAAATTAATCGCCGGTGGCGCGTAATGGTTTTCCTCTAATTCCGCAAATTTCTTTCTATCAAAACCCCTTGTACCCTTATAGGATTTGGTACCAACAACCACCGGAGTTGTACAGATTGCGGCGACGATTGGATTGCGTTGGATGGGCATGCAATATAGTTGAATAATTCATACTTTTGCAACTGGTATGTTTTTTAAAAAATATTATTGGAAAATTTAGGTGTTTCTATTCCAGATTCAACATAAATAGATCTCGTTACAATAATTGACTTTCTTTTCCCCTTTCTAGTTTTTTTTGGGATTAGTTAGTAATAATACATTTATGAACAATTGACTTAGATTTGAATTGATTCCGGTCAAGTGTCCTCAACATCACCCATTGACGAATATGATCACCCAAAAATTTCCAGAAAGCGCCTTAAAGTTTCAGATCCCTCCGCCCAATTGGCATCTGCAATTCGCGGGTATTTTTATTAATGTACTCTTTTTTTTTTTTGATTCAGCTGTTGTCCCTTCTATATAATTTTTTGATAATCATGTTCATGATTTGACAGTGATGAGCAATCTGCAACGGAGATGAGTTGCCAGTCTAATGGCAACAACAGTGGTATTCCACATTCTTGTAATGACGTTGGCAACAGTTACTTCAGCAATGGACCATCTGCTTCTTGTTCTTCTTATGTGAGTGGATGGATGTATGTCAATGAGCATGGGCAGATGTGTGGTCCTTATATCCAGCAGCAGTTGTGCGATGGTTTGTCGACTGGTTTCTTGCCAGATGAGCTCCCTGTTTATCCTATAGTCAATGGGACTTTGATAAATCCTGTTCCCTTAAAATACTTTAGGCTGTTCCCTGATCATGTTGCTACAGGATTTGTTCATCTCACTTCAACCACAGCTTCCAGTTATTTAAATTCTTCTCTTACCAGTATCCAACACACTCCTTCCCCTTCTCAATTCAGATGCGGTGTAAGCTCCTGAGCACTTAACATTGTATTGCTGGTTTGTTTTTTTTATAGGACTTCCTCTGAATGATTTTCACTTTTTTTTCTTATTCCAGTCAGGTGAAGATGTATGTTGGTTGTTTGAAGATGGTGAGAGTAGGAAACATGGGCCTCATTCCTTTTGCAATTGTATTCTTGGCATTGCAGTGGTTATCTTGGAGATTCTATTATGGTAAAGCCTTGAAACTCTTGAGTCATGATTCATCACTGCATGAACGATCATTTGTTTCAAGTATTAGGTCCTATGGGCTCTAGCAAACTGCAAACCTAGTTCACCTGTTGTTGTAGGAAGGCATGATGCACCAAAGCTTTACTCGGTTTCTTTCTTCTTATCTCCTTTTGTTTTAATTTATTATTTTGTAGATTTATCATGCTAATGATAAGTTTCTCCCCACCAACGTGTTGTCTGTTTTAAATTCTTGGAAAGGTGGTCAGTTTGTTGTTGAAAATGAACATGAGTCATCTGTCAACTTCATATCGGCAATTTCTGAAGAAGTTTCTTCTGATTTGCATTCTCGAATTATGCAAGCAGCTCGTAGAGTTATGCTAGAGGAAATAATCACAACTATGATCTCAGAGTTTGTTGCTGCAAAAAAATCTGACAGGCATCTAATGGTTGAATCGTGCAACCAAGATGTTAAAGGTTCTGATCGAAAACTGGTAATGTATCCAATCACTCAACAAAAAAATTCTGATCTTTGTTTGTCTTAAAATCTAAAGTTTGTTTGGAATACAGATTAAAAATACCCTTGAAAAAAAGTATTCGTTGTACTCCCACGTTTGGCACAGTAGACTCCCATGATGTATCTAGTCCTTCAATTCAAGAATCTTCTGATTTTGATGCATGTCAAAAATCTGTGGGAAGCATTGAAAATTTTTGGGGTTCTTATTCAGTTGTTTGTAAGATGCTTTTTGAGTATTGCATGGAAGTTACATGGAATGCTGTCTTTTATGATAGTATGGTTGAATTTTTGTCTTCCTGGAGAAAGGGAAAACTTTGGTTGGGTCAGCCTAATGTTATGGCATCTGCTAGTTGTAGGAATTATAGAAATGAGTTGTCAATCCCTTAAGTTAAGAGATTATGTAATTATTTTCTGTTTTTTCAATCCCTTATTTCAAGGGATTACATCTCCTAGGATTAGTTTCCTTTCTTAGAGTTTCCTAGTTTAGAGGCATAATTTGTATATAAATATGTAATATGTTCTACGGAATGTACACGAGAATAAAAATAACAGACTTGTCTGTTTTCTACAGCCTGTTTTCTACATGGTATCATGTTAGAGCGATCAATCCGATTTCCGCTTCTCTTTAAATCAATTCCTATTCAACTCTATTTTTTTCATGGCTAATCCGGATCCCTCAGCATCCGAAATCACTTCCCAGACCAGCCCCTCTCAATCTGATTTTCAGATTTCAGTTTTCAAATTTTCAAAGCAACAGAGGAAAAATCGCCTTTGGTGTGAACATTGTAAGAAGCCAGGCCATATGATAGATCAATGTTGGAAGCTGCACGGGAAAACCAGCCGATTGGCAGCACACACGGTCCAGGTTTCAAAAGGAGCCTCATATTGCCTCTCAAGATGATTCCTCAAGCAGTTTTAGCAGGAAACAGATAGAGGAACTGCAGCAGATTTTGAGCAGTATGACAGCCAAGCCTACAAATGTGACTTATACTACTACTGATGGAAATAATCCATATGCTTCCTCGGTACAATGGATAATAGACTCGGGTGCATCAGATCATATGACGGGAAATATTAATATCTTGGAGGAATATAGTGAAAGCAGCTTACCAGCTTCTATCAAAATAGCAGATGGTTCTCTCACTACAGTCAAAGGGAGTGGTTCTGTTACATTAAACAAAAATCTACTACTTCATAATGTCCTCTATGTTCCTAGACTTGCATGCAATCTGTTGTCAGTCAGCAAATTAATTAAAGATTTTGGTTGTAATATTGTGTTTGGTACTGGTGGTTGCATTTTTCAGACACAGGGCTCGAAGAGGGTGATTGGCAGTGCTAGGCTGGGCAAAGGATTGTACACCCTTGGAGGTAAAGCATCTCGTAATCATGCCTTATCTAGTGCTCTTAGGAAACCAATTTTATCTTCTGATCTCAATACCAATAAAATTATGTTATGACACTCTAGATTAGGTCATCCTAATTTTTTCTATCTTTCCAAAATGTTACCGAACTTATTCATTAATAAAGATCCGTCTTTGTTTTCCTGTGAAATTTGTCAAATGGCGAAACACACCAGAAAACCATATATTCCAGCCAAATTTGAACCAACAACACCTTTTTTCATCATCCATAGTGACATTTGGGGCCCTTCTCTTGTCAAAAGTATTTCTGGGTATAAGTGGTTTGTGTCTTTTATAGATGATTACTCTAGGACAACATGGGTTTTCTTAATGAGAGAAAAATCTGAGGTTGAGTCTCTCTTTAAAAGTTTTTATCAAAAAGTTGAAACTCAATTTGACACAAAAATCAAAATTCTAAGGAGTGACAATGGGAGTGAGTATTTGAATAAAACCCTTGGGTATTTCTTTAAGGAAAAAGGCATTGTTCACCTTACTTCTTGTGTCAACACACCTCAACAAAGCGGGGTAGCAGAAAGGAAAAATAGACATCTTCTAGAGGTTACTAGGTCTCTTATGTTTGCTGCTAATGCTCCTAAGTATCTTTGGGGGGAAGCTCTTCTTACAGCCACTTACCTCATCAATAGAATGCCAAGTAAAACCTTAGATTTCAAAATTCCTACTAAGGTTCTGTTTCAGCTGTATCCCCATTTTAAACATTTAAACTCAAGTCTTTCTCCTCGGGTGTTTGGGTGTACAGCCTTTGTTCATATCCACAACAGAGGGAAATTAGATCCTAGGTCCATAAAGTGTTTGTTCTTGGGCTATTCTTCGAGTCAGAAGGGTTACAAGTGTTACTCACCTTCCACCAAAAAGACCTATGTCTCCTTTGATGTTACATTTTTTGAAAACCAACCTTATTTTTCAGGAACAGAAATTCAGGGGGAGAGTTACAAGGAATTTCAGCCTGTTCAAACCGATATTTCTTTACAGCCTATTAGTTACAAGGAATTTCAACCTGTTCAAACCGATATTTCTTTACAACCTATCCTTTCCTTACCTATTACTGTCTCTCCAAAGCCGGCTAGCACTGTCCCAGTTCCTAGGGAGGGTGATGGGAATAACCTAAATAACTCTGATGAATTATCTTCCTCCTTATCTCAGCACTCTAGTCCGTGCAAAACACCTTCCACCACTACCAAAAATGCACCTAACAATGACCCTGAAACCATAACTCCCCAACCGAAACAACTCAGTGTTTACACAAGAAGAAGGAAAGATGTTGCTGAAGAAATCAGTCAGCCTAGCATTTGCCAAGAACCAGATTCGGATCCTGTTGCAGCTGAAACAGAAGGTAATGATGGTTACCAAGAGGCTACTACTGTTGATCTTGATGACTTTCCTATTGCTATTAGGAAGGGGGTAAGAAAATGCACTGCTCATCCCATAAATAAGTATGTTGCATATGGGAAATTACAGTATAATTTCAGGGCCTTCACTGCCAGTATTAACACTGTGAAAATCCCAAGAAATGTGACAGAAGCATTTCAATCTCCTGAGTGGAAAAAGGCTGTGGAAGAAGAGATAAAAGCATTGCAAAAGAATAAAACATGGAGTTTGACAGATTTGCCAAAAGGGAAGAGAGCTGTTGGATGCAGGTGGATATTCACAGTCAAATATCATTCGGATGGGAGTGTGGAAAGATACAAGGCAAGGCTGGTTGCTAAAGGTTTTTCTCAGTCCTATGGCATCGACTACCAGGAGACTTTTGCACCGGTTGCAAAATTGAATACCATCAGAATATTGTTATCAGTAGCTGTTAACATGGACTGGAAATTGCATCAGCTGGACATAAAGAATGCTTTTCTGAATGGGAACCTTGAAGAAGAGGTATACATGGAGGTCCCCCCCGGATTAGAAGGAAAAGTCACTAAGAAAACTGTGTGCAAGCTCAATAAATCCTTATATGGCTTAAAACAGTCTCCCAAGGCTTGGTTTGATCGATTTGCTAAGGCTATGACACGGAATGGTTTCAAACAAAGCCAAGCAGATCACACATTATTCAGAAAAATTACACCGAGTGGTAAGATAACCCTCCTAATTGTCTATGTAGATGATATGATTATAACTGGCAGTGATATAGAAGAAATATAAAAGCTAAAGATGAATCTTGCAAAGGAGTTTGAAACCAAGGATTTAGGGAGTATGAGGTATTTCCTGGGTATGGAAGTTGCAAGGTCCGAGGAAGGGCTGGTCATAAACCAGAGTAAGTATGTTTTGGATCTTCTTGCAGAAACTGGGATGCTCGACTGCAAACCAGTTGAAACTCCAATGGAGCCAGGCTTGAAATTTTGCAAGGAGAGGATTGGAAATCCAGTAAACAAGGAATCCTACCAAAGTTTAGTTGGGAAGTTAATCTACCTGTCACTGACCAGGCCTGATATTGCATACTCAGTGAGCATTGTCAGCCAACATATGAGTGATCCTCGAGAAGAACATTTGGAAGCTGTTAACAGAATTTTAAGGTTCTTGAAATTTACCCCAGGAGCTGGACTTATATTTAGAAAAAATCAAGACAGAACAGTGAAGGTTTATACAGATGCAAGCTGGGGAGGTGAATTAACTGATAGAAGGTCAGTTAGTGGCTACTGTACCTACGTTTGGGGTAATTTGGTGACTTGGAGAAGTAAGAAACAAGCTGTTGTCTCTCGAAGTAGTGCTGAGTCAGAGTTTAGAGCAATGGCTCTTGGAATATGTGAAGGAATGTGGATTAAAAGACTGCTCACAGAACTGGACTTAGATGACAAGAAGAATTTTGAGATTTTTAGTGACAGTCAATCAGCTATGAGTATAGCAAAAAATCCAGTGCAGCATGATAGAACGAAACACATTGAGATAGACAGACATTTTATTTACGAGAAGGTCAACAATGGATTTGCAAAACTGTAGTACATTTCGACGAAGAAACAGCTGGCAGATATCTTCACCAAAGCCCTTCCACGAGTGACTTTTGATGAGATGTCATTCAAACTGGGTATATACAACATATATACACCTGTTTGAGGGGGAGTGTAGGAATTATAGAAATGAGTTGTCAATCCCTTAAGTTAAGAGATTATGTAATTATTTTCTGTTTTTTCAATCCCTTATTTCAAGGGATTACATCTCCTAGGATTAGTTTCCTTTCTTAGAGTTTCCTAGTTTTGAGGCATAATTTGTATATAAATATGTAATATGTTCTACTGAATGTACACAAGAATAAAAATAACAGACTTGTCTGTTTTCTACAGTCTGGTTTCTACACTAGTGGCTCCTTTGATCATGGCAAGGAGACTGAAAATGTAAAAGCTACAACTGTAAGTAAAGTCTATATTCTATTTTGTGTAAATAGTATGTAATGAACTTGAATCTAATGCTTTATGGTTTTACAGCTCTTCTCTTGGAAGGAATTGATGGCCCATGATATTGATTGTTCACCTGGTTACGAACTGGCTACAGTTTCTGTAGATAATCATGCAGAAGAGATGCATATATCTTCATCTGCAGTGCAGGAAACTTTATCCAAGCAGAACAGTCCATTGCACAATAATGGCCTTTATGGTGGCATACAATGTATCCTGGAAGGTGTTGAAAATGAGCTCCATTTTTCTGCTATGGTGTTTATGGCCGACTATGTTGACAATCTTGTTAAAAGTGAAGCCAAAATAGTGATTGATCTGGAAAATGATGAAAATTTGAATGAAAATCCTAATAAAGAGGACACAGACAAATCAGTCAATTTGTCGATAGATGAGGAATTGAAAGAGTTACAAAAGGTATATCCTGTTAGTTCATAATTTTTTTTCATTACACTTTTAAAATTGTTCTATTGAGACTAGGTTCTCCCATTCCAATTACAGCCCAATATGTGCTTATGTATAACACACCAGGATCATATCTCTCCAGAATTTAACCAAATAATTTTCTTTTACAGCTGCAAGACACGGTTGGATCTTCCGATCAGTGCCATATTTCTTCTGATCTTGATACTTCAGACGGTTGTGAAGACAAAAAGAATGTTTCGAACAAAATGACAGATTTATCTGCCAATCTGAACTCATTAGAACCACAGAAGCCTGTTTGTCAATCTATATCTGAAAATGATTATACTAAAAGGGATGGAACTTTTATGGCTGGGGGATTTAAGAGATTGTTTGGAAAGGTTGCGGATGTAAGTAATGAACAAGAAGTTGATGAGCCATCACCTCCTGGACTTGAGGTTAACACTGGGATTCTTGTTCCATCACACATTTGTAAATTTCGATCTTCAGCTACAGTTCAGTGTGGCCCTAAGATTGGAGAATATGTTGCCATGGCAATTTGTCGGCTGAAGCTCCATGATGATGTACTAAGAGAGTGGAAATCATCATTTGCTAGTAATGCTAGTTTTTACCAGTTTATTGTATCATGGCGTAGTTTGAAGAAACAGAGTGAGGCTGATGGCAAAGAGGTAACGATCGCTACTTTGTACCTTCTATTCTAACAACTAAACCCATAGATTTTTATATTGGGTTGAATATTTTGTTGTAACTTTTAATTTGCCTCAGGAAAAGAAGTTTTGCAAAGACAAGAAAAATCTTGCTGGTTTTTCTGCCCCACGAGATAAGCCCAGGGAGGGGTCAAGTAAGTCTATCAGTTCAGGCTCCTCAGAAGTATCTTTAGCAACTGGTACATGTATATATTACCGAAAGAAAAAGTTGGTTCATAAGAAGGTAGGACCTTCTCAGTTCATGATTATCAATGGGTCACATGATCAACCTGTTGAAAGGCCTTTGAAGAAAGAGTCTTCCAAGAATTTGTTGGATCATGCAGATCCAAAACTAACTGATGCCCCTTCTAAAAAGGTTGGGACAAATAAAAGTATGTCTCAATCATCTAATATTTCTGGGTCATCAAAAGTCATAGCTAAGAAGAGTTTGCACAATGATCACTCATCACCCAAGAGTGCAAGTGGTCTGAAAAAACCAAAGGATGCTTCTGCTGTTCGAAGTATGTCGTTTTCCTTCTGATAAGTTCTTAATATTGCAGAATATGATAATGAGCCTAGAAATAATAAAGGTTATTAACTATGTTATGCAGAAACTAAGAAGAGCTTGCTCAATGACCACTCATTACCCAAGAATGCAAGTTGTCAGAAAACAGCAAAGGATGCTTCTGCTGTTCAAAGTATGTTGTGTTTTTTCTTCTGATGAGTTCTTGGTTATGAAGAAGATGATAATGAACTTTGAAATAATAATGGTTATTAACTATGTAATGCAGAAACTAAGAAGGGTTTGCTCAATGACCACTCATTACCCAAGAATGCAACTTGTCAGAAAACATCAAAGCATGCTTCTACTGTTCAAAGTATGTTGTTTATTTCCTTCTGATAAGTTCTTGGTTATGCAGAAGATGGTAATGAACTTGGAGATGATAATGGTTATTTACTATGTTATGCAGAAAATTTGGTTGGAGATGGTGCTGTTAAAGTCAGAGGGGAAACTGCATCAGCCTTTCAGAATTGTGATGAGAATATTGTAGGCAGGAGTAACCATACTGTTGGAAGTGAAGGAGAGCTTACTAAGGATTCCTCCAAGAAAACACTAAAAGGTACCCCCCACCATATATATTCTTTTGTTTTATATCAAATAATTGCATATATTAAATTTTCTTTATTTCTGTTATTATCTTTAGCAAATAAGGTATCAGGGGTAAAAAGAAAGCAATTAAATAATGATGAGCAACCATCACCTTCAATCAAGCTACAGAAAGTAGCTAGTGGTGGTAGCAAGTGTTCTTCATCTAGAGGGGTCACAGATCAAAAGACCCGCAAAATTAGATCCAGGACTACAAATTCCTGTCCTAGATCTGATGGATGCGCGCGAACTTCAATTAATGGATGGGAGTGGCATAAATGGTCTCTCAATGCAAGTCCCGCTGAAAGAGCTCGTGTTAGAGGAATTCAGTGTATTAACATGAAGTATTCAGGTCCCGAGGTGGCTGCTGCAGAGGGTGCTGATCTCTTGAAAGTTACACAGTTGAAGGTGATTTTGACATGATGATATTTGAATATCATGGTTTTGAAATGTTTTGATGTGACGTCGATTTCAAAATTGCTTCATTTATTAGGCAAGGAAAAAGCGTCTACGATTTCAGCGAAGCAAGATACATAATTGAGGCTGAGGACTTTGTCATTGAATATGTTGGGGAATTAATTCGACCGAGGGTAGGTTTGACTTGTATGTTTTCCTGTTCAGTCTAATATTTGCAATTCCTCTTCTTTTCACAAATGACCATTGAATATGCTTTTAAATGTTGTAGATTTCTGATATACGGGAACAGTATTATGAGAAGATGGGAATTGGTAGCAGTTATCTATTTAGACTTGATGACGGATATGTAGTAAGTAAATCAAATTTTTAACTTGTGGGTCTTGACTTGATTTAAGTTGCATTATGGTTGGAGCATCCTTTCTTGTTTTTGGGCCAATCTTGACTGCTGATATACTATATCTATGTATAGGTTGATGCTACAAAGCGTGGTGGGGTTGCTAGATTTATAAACCATTATTGTGAGGTATGTGAAGATGTAGCTCTGTTCATTATTGCTATTCATGATTGATTGGTGCTGCTAATTTGGAATACTTGAATTGCAGCCTAATTGTTATACAAAAGTTATTAGCGTAGAAGGCCAGAAGAAGATATTCATTTATGCAAAACGTCATATAGCTTCTGGCGAAGAAGTTAATTATCACTACAAATTTCCTTTGGAAGAGAAAAAAATTCCTTGCAACTGTGGTTCAAAGAAGTAAGATGCAATGGGATTTATGGCTGTTCATTTTTTTAATGATCTTGATTACATTGAATTCTTGCTTTCTGGGGAAAACATCATCACCGTATGAAAATAAAGTAGACATGCTACCTGCTATTCTCTGCTCACTTTTTGTCTAACCATTCTTGCTTTTGTTCAGGTGTCATGGATCTTTAAACTAGCATGCACACATATAATATGTACGTGATGAAAATTGTACCTTTTGTTAATGAGATTTATACGGTCTTCAATTGATTTGGATTTCTGTTTTTTTATCTACTGTATTTATTGTGTAGGCCATCCCCTTGATTTGTTACTCATTTTGAGAAGTCAGCAACAATTTGATGCCACATGGTATGTAATTGTGTTAGTTGTTTTGACTATATATATGTGTGAGAAAATAATTTGTTAGTATGATTTTATTAATCCAGAGAAACATGGAAGCTCCTGTTCTGCACCTACTCAAAGGTTAAATAGTACAAGAACCAACAGAAATCATTCAGGGAATAGTAACAAAGGTTAATAGACCTAAAACAGAAGTAGAATTATAGGGGAAAGGAGTCCTATTTATGTTGCAAGGTTCTTCACTGAGCTTTTGGAAGACTGAAATCTCTCAGCTCATTGATGGGAGACTGAAACCTTAGGACTTGTTAAACAGAGACTCAAATCTTTTTAGGGGTTTGATAGAAATTCTGTCGTTTTTTATTCTGTAAGTCTCTTTCAGTAGAGATTTCAATATTAGAAATTAAATGAAGTCCAATCAATATCAATTTTTATATAAGTCCTAAAACAACTTTATTCTGCGAGTCCTATCTAACAACTTATTTAGAGTCTTACCTTATAGCTACCAAGTTTCCGCAACATTAATGAAGCTCATGGTTTTGTCTCGCTGCAAAGCGAGCAGAAAAGCAAAAAGAGCATATGAAGCAAGACATTTGGGACAAGGCAAAGTAACAGTTTGCCACCATTAGTAATAAAAAATCCTTGTGAATCTTTTGCTCAGAGGAGACATGTTGCTGGCCTTGCAAGGTTGCCTAGAGTGAAATCTTGGGGGTGGGTTGAGAGAGATGGGGGAGTCAGGTATAACACTTGGCTATGTTAGCGATGAAAGAAGGAAAAAGAGAAAAAGAAATAAAAAGAAACTAAAATGGTTTTATTAATTTATTAGTTTCTATGTTTGTATATGTTTTTCATCTTGAACTGTTTTTGTGTCAACAGTTATGCTAGTAAGACGTGCTCAATAAGCATGGGAAATTATATAAACATTGCCATCTGGTTGTGTGGTGAGTCGAGTAAAATAAAATGATGGGAAGGAATACATGCATTTTTTTATTTTTCAATTTATTTATTCTTAATGATGCTTTTATCAGGTTGTATTGATTTGCTATACTTGTTATTTCAACTTACAAGTTCTTTTTGCCCTTTATTTGTGATTAAATGTAGCTTGAGCATGCTCATTGGCAGAGAAGCTTGGCTTGGGTTCTGTTAAACATTCTCAATGCCTACTTGGATTGTGCTACCAAAAGTTTTGGTGGTGAATTCACCAATGTGTTTTGGCAGAGCACTTGAAAGGGTATATTGGCAATTGTTTTTTTAATTATTGAATTATTTACTGAACTAGGATATGTTTGACGGCCTTTTTTATATTTTAATTTATAGCAATCATCTATTCCAGTCTTTGGCCTGTGGTTTGAGGTTGAGAATATTATGTGATCAACAGCTTCAGATTTGACATCTTTGATTGTATCCTGGGTATTTAGGCTATCTTTGTTAAAAATGAAAAAAAAAAGTCTTTATTGTAAGTTTTGTGGAAGCTACAAGTGAGAGATGGTGGGAGAGAGAAAAGAAGAGAGAGAAAAGAAGAAAGAGAAGATAATTTCCTGTGAGGTTTGGAAGGTCTTTGTCGATAATCTCAGTAGGAGAGTATCTTGACGTGAGCTGAGGGAAATCTTTTCGTCTTAGGGGGCTGTGGAAAGAGTTTTCATCCCAAAAGAAACTAGGAATCCTAAGTATAAATTTTTTACTTTTGCTTTTGTTCAGTTTGAGCGGGAATCTGTTTAAATCGAGCGATAGATATGCTAAATGGATCATTGATAGATGGGAGAAGGATTACAGTTGTAGTAGCAAAATACAATGATGCTCGTCCATTGATAGCGGGGAAAAACAGTCCAGTTAAATCGGTTCCAATTTCGTCTGCAGCTGGTCTTTCGAAGTTGAAAGAGATAGATTTTTCCTGCAGGAGTGTTAGGGATGACAGATCGTATAAAGATGCTTTATTGGCTAATTATGCAACGGGGCATACGGAGTTCCATTCTGAAGGGAGTCATAGGGAGAAAGTAAGGAAGAATATTCTGGAAATGTATATTCCGTTCGAGAGTTCGAGTTGGGTCAAAAGATCTTTAACGGGGATTATTAAGCTTTCCATTGATTTTAAGTCAGTTAAGGAGTCTCTCTTTAATGATGGCTTTGAAGTTCAGATTGCTGGCTGGGGTTACGCTCGGAACTCATGCATAATGACATTCAATTCGCATGAAGAGATGATGGAGGCATGGACAAAGAAGAAAGATGTGATAAGCTTTTGGTTTGACAGATTTGATCTATTACTGAATGAGGATGGCATCCCTATGGCTTTTTGCCAGGTTGAGCTATTAGGGATTCCTTTGTTATGCTGGAATGAATCATTCTTAGAACGAATAGCTGGGAGATGGGGAGATAAGGTAGAAATTCATGATTCCACTAAGAACAGGGATGATCTCTCCTTTGTGAGAATTCTTTTGAGAGTTGCTAGCACTTTTTATGTTCCATAATTTATTACTCTTGGATCCTATGGTAGATCGTTCAGAATTAATATCAAGTTTGGATCGATTTGTGATGATTCAAAGTCGTTTTTTAAAACTTCTCCGGCGGTCGAAGCAGTTGGAGAAAATTGTGGTGAGTTGAGGTTTGAGGATGAGGAAGTTAGGGATTTGTCAGAATCTGAGGAAAGTCCAGTCAAATCAGCAGAGAAAGGCAGACAAAAAGTTAACTTTTGGCTGAATGAGGGAGCTTTTTTCGGCTCAGCAGGCTCTGATGGGGAAACACTTTCTCCAAGATTTACCAAACATGGGAAGGGTTTTACAGAAGGACTGTCAGGTTTTCAGAACGTTGGGAACAACAGAGAATGAGACTTTGCAGGTTTGGGTATTAGAAATTTAAAAAATTCGGCTGATGGGTCACAGGCCCAAACCGATGATTATGAGCTGTCTGGACTGGATTTTTCTAAGTTATTTCCTTCAGGGCCAGCATACTCAATTAATAAGTTTGGTAAACTGGTCCAGCTTTCCCCTTCAAAAACAATAAAATTTCTTATTTTCCAAATAGTCCAAATAACAGCCCCAGGAATGAAAGACCAAATTGTAGAAATAGACTTCAACTCATCCCAACATAATAGAAACATTTTAGCATCTGCATGAAGAACATAATTGAAATTCCAAAACTGTAAAAATTTGTTCCATAATAACCACACTACTGGACAAGTAAAGAATAGATGCGAGGAAGACTCTTCAACCTTTTTACAAAGAGGACATAAAACATCATTAATATCCTCCTATGGTGATATACACCATTACAACAACCACCTTAACCTAATATAACCTCAACCAAAATCACAGTCGAATCACCTTGTTACTAATTACACCTCCAACAATAGGATTTAAACAACGCAACATAACATAATACAAAAGAAAAGTAACACCTGCAACCATATAAACTAAATCAAACCACAAATAGAAAGATGATATCTAATGAGATTCGTCTTCTTCAGGAGCCCAAGAGTTCGGCTTGAATGAAGGCTCTATCTCATGCACCATGATCTTGAAGTAGTTGTCACCAACTTTTAATTCCAAAGTCGCATCAATTCTCGCACTAGCCTTTGCGAGGACTTGAATTTTTGCCTGATCAAAGGATGATGGTGACTGACAGCTTTCATCGATTGCTAGTAATTGACCCCAACTATCAGCAATGTTCTTGAAGGTATCCCAATTCCATGCATGAAACGGAACACCCTCGCATACTAATCATACTCGGCGAAACTCCAATACCCGACTCTCTGACCAAGCTTCCACTATGGAGAACCACTCTGCGAGAGTCTCTGATTTAACGTTCTTCACACTTCTCAATGAAGCAGAGTCTTTGAAAATCAATAATACCGCGTTTCCAGCGGCTCTCATCAAGGAGAAGCCAGTGAGGCCCTTCGCATGCATTTGTCTAGCGAGATGACTGATTTTGATGAAGTTTTTACACCACCCCACTAGACAATTACTCAACACCTGATGTTTTTCTTCATCAATAACACCTTCAACTTTATAATGATTCTTCCTCGAATCATATTCCATCACGGACTTGTGGAGAACACCTTTGGAAGACTTTCTCCAATAGGAATGGCGAGGCTTGAATTTAGCTAAAGAAACACCAATTTTGCTGCCATCGATATAAAAGTCATTCATTTTTGAGGTCGCTCTCCTTGCTTCTTCGATTGCAGCAAAGCGAATGAAACCAAAGCGAACTCCTTTTGCATTTCTTTTATTTGGAATAAAAGCATCAAGAACCCGACCATGTGAACAAAAAAACGATCCAAACCTCTTCCAATGGATCTTCTCTGGTAAGTTTTCAACAAATAACGTGTAACATCCAGACTTATTACCATTGCACTCCTTTGTGGTAAATTCCCTGGTTCCGTCGTTGACACCATTAACTGCAGACTTTTCGTCGCAACACCCAGTTTTAACAGGCACGTGAATACTTGGAGATGCTAGAGAAGCTGGATTTGGCAATGGTAGTACTGGAGGAACAGGAGCATCAGAATTAGAAATTATATCTCTTTTAATAACAAGATTCTTCCTTGCCATCTCAATGTGCAAAAGGGACTTCAACTTAGAATCAAAAACCATTTTTTGAAGAGCATCCTTGGCAGCAACTGCAAATTCTGCATTTGAGAAGAGAGCGAAACCCTTAGGCTTTTCTCCCTTATAGCTCAAATGAGAATCTTCAAAACCTGGAAGCCATCTCAGAAGATTCTGCAGTTCTCTCTCTTTGACATCTCCAGGCAGACCCATAATGAAGATAGTACGAACCTCGTCATGATGAGAAGGGAGAGACGGCGGAGAAATCGCGGCTGCAGAGGATGAAGGAGTTTGGCCCTTCGATCTTTGCTAGACAGAAGGGATACCCAGAGACTAGATGGAACTATCCTGGTTGCGCCCGGCGATGGAGGCTGTGACTGCCGGCGAAAAAAGAAGGGTGGAGGTGATGAACAGATAAATCTTGAACCTGAAGACAGATGAACTCCGTAGATATCCAGTCAAAAACTAAAACAAAAAAAAAGGCCACGGGTCTGGAAAGTAGGAAAAACTTGTTTTGTTCGCGAGAATATGGCAAGCCCAGTGGAAAGATGAAGTATTGGCGAAGAGACGCTGGCGTGAATCGAAAAACAAGGCGTAAAGATCTTCGTCGGAGAAGAATTTGCGTCACCAACATCTGATAGTCTAAGGGCCTTGTCCAAGATCCACTGAGTTTATGGCTCACCGTGACGTAACGCTGCCTAGATCCAGGATGATGGCATCGAGACGAACAAACCTGGAAGTTTTGATGGTCAACAGCCACCGGACGTGACGGCCGGATTTATGACCCTTCTTTAGGGGATTTACACTCCTACAATTTCATGAAGTCCTCTGTATTACCCTGGCTTCCTCCTCCTATAGGCTTCATAAAATTGAATGTGGATGCTGCCACCACTAGTGATTGGTTGAAAAGCGGACTAGGAGGTATTTTAAGGGATCATTTGGGAGCAATTTTAGGTTCTTTTCAGGAGCCTGATGGTCCGGGACCTCCGACATTAAAGGAACTCAAAGCTATCTAAAGGGGTTTGATTTTCGTCGCTTCTATTCAAGGGAGGGATAATGTTCTACTGATTGTTGAAAGCGACAATAAGGTAGCAGTGGACTGGATTAACATTGTTGATTCTTATCTAGTTGTGTATGTTGTTATTGTTAAGGATATTGTTGATAATCTTAGGGTTTGTGGGGGGATTGTTAGATGGGTTGCTAGGTCAGCTAATTCGGATGTTGATGCCTTAGCAAAGGTTGGTATAGGCTGAATTTTATGTGTTTTGTACTGATCAAGTGGGTTTCTTGTTCTTGATCAGAAGGGAGTTATGACTATTTGTAAGGGTTTATGGGATTTTATCTAGGTTGTAATCCTACTTTACTTTAATAAAGTTCTAAAGCGCTATTTTTCATCTTTCGCTGATTAAGGAGCTTATTCATAAGCTCCATTAATCAAGAAGGTGGTTTTTAATGAGGCCTTCAAATCTTATAAAAAAAACTGAAAAAAAAATTCAAAGCTTCTTGAATATTTGCTGAAGGGTTATATGTATATATACATTCATCTTTATGAAATTGGTTTAACTCTAATTAAATATCTAAAACGAACTTGGAGTCTCCCTTAGATTGAGTCTATCTCAATTGCAGAGCCCTTTTTAAGAAGCTTGGGGATATGCTGAATGTGTTGCATCTTTAATATGGAACTGCAGTCATCAGTAACACATTGACTAATATTTGCCATGAATTGTGGACGTGGATGAACGTTTCAGGTTGTGGGCAAAGTTTTCTCAAATAGAAGCCGATGGTGATATAAAGACCTTTTCACATGAAATGGTTTTCCCAACATCTGGAAGACGAATTACTTATCCGTGTTCATCGTTGTTGTATATAACACTTGCAGATGAGTTCCTTCTCTTAGAATCTGTAACCAGTTTTATTGTTTTCTTATCGCTCGACATTTTTGGAATATAAAGTTTTTGTACAAACATGCATCATCATATATGCCATTTGTTTACCTCTTTGGTTATTTTACCCCTGCCTTTTTCAAGGCACATGGCCTCATTTGAGTGTAGTAAAATGCATGTGTATTTTTTTGTATGTATACATTTAATAGTCTTAAGATGTATAATGTAGATAATTTAAAGATTGGTCCAATTTATTTGCAGAACATATAAAATTTTCCTACAATTTTGTTGGCCAATATGATTTCCTTATGATCCCATGTTTGTTGTAGAGCACTCAAATATGGAAAAGTATAACTAGAGTTTGATACAATCCGATACAACTAATGGGGCAAAGAAGTTAAAGAAAACTTCAATTGGTTGGTATTTTCTAGCTGTATGTGCTTATCAAAAGCGCCTGTTATTTGGCTTTTATTGTCCAACACTAAGGTGAATCGATTAGGTGCCTTTTGATGCCGACCTTAACAACATTTGGTTTAGCTGATGCCTGCCTATCTTGAACTGTAGCCACTGGAAATTTTTATTCGACACATCTGTTGAGAGGATACCATATTTTACATGGATTTTGATATCTTACATACCCGTTTGACACTCTATGGTCGGGGTTCGAGGCAGTTTCTTCCAACAATGACATCTTCAAAGTTCGTACACGGATTTTCTCAAAGGGAGTGTAACTTGTCTTACGATACCCGTACTCCAACATCCAAATATTGGTATGGATTTTAATTCTAGAACCGTCTGTCATAAGTTATCCATGGTGTCGATTTCAATATTTTGCGATGACTTGTATTCATGGGTTTCATGGGATCTTCATTAAGCAAAAATAAATCAAGTTGGAAGCAATTGGACGGATGAGAGGATTAAACATATTTGCATACTTTTGAGAATTATTCTGCATGCTTGGCGGCAGTATGCCCTTAGTAGGAAGTGTAGATTATGATTCCAGTTACTAGGTGGAGGAGGATCAATATAAGAAGATTGTTAATGGTGCTCCAACTTTGCATAAACTCGGTTAATGAGCAAAATCTCTCACTAGATCCTTCTGTTGGTTGCAGGATTGAACAAAGCCTGTTTGGTGCAGGAACGTGGTACATTAAACCCCCCGGTATGTCCCTCTTCTCTCATTTTTTTAATCCTATACAATGTACCAACTACAGAAAATATCCGAAAAATACTAGTTTTAGGTGCTCAAAATTGCCACATTTACGTAAGAAAACATATTTAAAAAATTTAATTCAACAAATGATTATATTAGTTCTAAAAGTTTTGTATGCAAATCTATTAGTATTGTGCTTGAATCTCAAATAATAGTTTTTAAGTAATTTTATTTAAAAGTTATATAAAAATGTAAAAAAATAAAAATATTTTCGCAATAATATTTATTATATTTTAAAATAAAAATTATTTAATAAATTGTCAACTTAAAATATGTCAAATTCAAAACGGAGATAAATTTTGTCAGCTAACTCTTGATATAAACAACTCCTATTTTTCTAGTTAGTACTTGATAGAGCTGAGTTAAGTTAAAAAAAATTGAGATAGTCGACTAGTCTCATTAGGATTCAAATTTTATTTAAAAAATTTTCGAGTCAAGTGAAATTTGAGTCAAACCCAATTGAGTTTTTATTCAAATTTAACTGTAAATATTTATAATATTATGGTGTGGATTGGTTCAGTATTATGATTATCTATAACCATTATATATATATATCTTCATATTCTTTCATAGTGTAATATTATTTAATAAATCAAATGTCATCTAAAATTATAAAATATATTTATAATTTATTCTTTTAAAGTGTATATTGGGAGAAAATGAAAGAGCTAAATAATTGATGGAAAAAGAAAAATTTGAAAATAGCTACAATAGAAAATCAAATTGAATAAGATGTAAAGTGGAGGGGCTAAAGTGTAAAAAGAGTACATTTGTTGTTAAAAATAGGAATTGAAATTACATAGATATTGTAGAGTGTTGGAGGAACATGTGATTCAAATTTGGTTAAAATTTAAATGACTGAAGAATTAGGAGTAAGAGGAATTAAGGATGAATATTCGAGTTAATTGAGTTGATTCTAATTTAAAATTTTGAGTTAGTGGAGTTGATGAGACGTATTTTATCATTTAAACTTTATTTGAATTTTTTTTAATTGCTCAACCTTTCTCTTATTTAAGTTATACCGATGTCAATGTAGGGCTCAATTATCAAAATTTTATGAATGTATATATATTATCTAAAATGAAATGGAAACAAATAAGTGATTAGTATAGCTATCTCCACTAGGTTCTCTTTTAAGACTGAGAAATAATTGAGAGCCTACTCTTTTGAGGTGAGGTTATACCTCAAATTCATATAATATTATTTACATGATGATTTAGACTGCATAAAAGTTGTTTCACCACTTTATCCATTAATAATATATACTCAACCATTTATTTCTTTCTTTAATTAATAAAACGAGGAGGTGGATGCAAAGACGAAAACAGTAGGAGATAAATGAAGGAAAAGCCAAGATTTGTCAAAATCAACATTAACAAGTGCACAAAAACTCTGCAAACCCAATTGGTATCAAAACGGAATTGTATCCCACATCTTGAAATTGTCCTCCACTTGTGTCTATGATCTGAGGAAGCACGAAACAAAATAATCATGGTAAGGATTGATTGCCTGAGAAGATCCCATGATTCATCTCATTTTCTCTCTACTGTCATTATCAGGGGCCTCTACATGATGTTCAGAAAGGGCGAAACTTGTTCTGTAATCAATAAACAAAGATGCTCTTGAACCCTTTAAAACACAGTGGGGTTGTATTATGAATCAATAGGAATGGAGTTCCCATTCACGAGTTTGATTCGATTCTAAGTCTAGACTGGCCATCCAAATGTTGGGAAATGATCCATCACCTGTGCACTCTTCTTATTACCGAGAAATGAATCAACTGTTCGTCTTTCGTTATCTTTGAAATGAAAGCTAATAAATTGATTCAAATAAGATGCCATATAATTCTGAAAATTCAGGAAATATCTGTATGTGTTTCCCAATAATTGCCTAACCTGTGCTCCCAGTCTTTCGAGATAAACGACTCTTGGCTAAGCTTAGTGAATGTGAAAATCTGATTAAATGAATTCATATAATCTAACTGCAATGTATTTATTAAAGAGTTCTTAATTGATTTCAGGAAAATTTGAGCTGCTCTCAAATTAAAACCGCTTCAGAGTGTAAGTAAAGTCCGAAGTTTTCAACTTTATTAATTATATGACGTGGTGTTGCCACACCTTTACTGTAAAAATATTAAAACCTTAAATTCCATTGCCGGGAATTGCACTCGGGTCTCCTGGGTGAAAGCCAAATATCCTAACCACCGGACGACAATGGATAGAGGCTAAACGTTTTCCCTTAAATCCAAATAGAGCATTTTATCAGCTCAAGCAGCTTTAGGTTCTGGTGCCAAGGGCAGTTCAAAGATTATGCCTCTATTTTCTAATATAGTTTGGCTCCCATATTTATGATATTTCTATCACGTTATTTTAATTGCATCCAATCATTCTAATACATGATTAAATACCATTATAATTTATATTCTTAAACTTGTTTTCAAAATTTAATCAATACCATAACGAACATAAAATTTTACTAACTCGAATAAGATTAAATCTACTTAAAGGGTCATTTTGCTCCTATACTAGATTAAAACTAATAATATATTCTACTTTTAATTTACATCAACTTTACATTTGACCGATATTGATTGTTACAATAAAACAAAACATGTTTGTAGCAACCTTTTTTTTAAGTAAACGCGGTTAAGTTCTTTGATTATGCGTCTTTTCATAAACATTTGCTTCATCGGCTCCTAGAAGAATAAAACGAAAACACCTTGCCATGACTATGACCTTGATTACTAGAAAGATTAGTAGAAATTTTAGGTTTCCCTAAGAGGGAGGCATAGTATAGTTCACTTGTAATTAACTTCTTATGGTTCAGTCTCCACATGTTGGAACATAATGTGCATATGTGATGGTGCATTTTATAAGTTGAAGGGGAAAATGTGAAAAGACATTGGTATGCAAATTTATATTTACTGTATAGTGGATCAGATGCACTTTTCTCATCCACTGTGAACAGGATGTATACTTTTGCTGATTCAAATTATTGGTCTCCTCAAGAGTGATTGGAGTTTCTGTTTAACAGACTTTGAATTTTGATATTTATGTTTATCGGACTCCTATCATGGGATTGACTTTCGTGGTGCTTACCATCATGTGTTGATATCAATATGTTCTGTGGGGCCTTTCCCACTAATAGCTGGTTGGTTCATTTGTGGCTGCTTCTTTTGCAAATTGGTTGCAGTTGCACCTGTTAGATTTATCTAGAAATTAAGTTGACAAGTTGGAAATTTCATCTTGGTTGGTGGCCAACTTATTAGAAATTTCATCTTGGTTGATGGCCAAACTTTGAACATGTGAATTTCATATTTGGTGGTAACTTGTACACATTGGAAAATTCTTTGGTAGGTGGCCAAACTTTGAACATATTGTTCTTAAAAACTAAACTATAAATAGGCCTAAGTATTTCCATTAGAAATGATCCCAAAAACAAGTTCTCTCTTCCTCTTGTATTCTTCATTCTCCCACTTTGGGAATTCTAAAGAATTCCATTTGTTGTAATATTGGCGATATAGTGAAGTTATCATCCGGTGTGGTGCCCGAGGAGTAGACGATATTCTCGTCGAACCTCGTAAATTTGGTGTGTTCTCTCCTTTATTGTTTTTATTTGGTTCTTTTCCATTGTGTTTCAATATTCAATAGTTTGACAGGTTTATCCGTTGTGCAACCTTTGGTGGTTTTAATCTTGACATTTTAGGTTAATTTCAAAACTACGTTCATGTGAGAAATAACTCGTTTTCCCCCAACAATTGGCATCAGAGCTTCGATTGAGGTTATCCTGGTGGTTCCGTTGCTGAAAAGATACAGTTCGTGATATTGAATATTGTTCGTTAGAATTAAAATGTCAAAATATGGATCAGTTAAGACATTAAGCTCTTCATCTGGACCGGTGAGGAGGGTGATGTCAAATGCAAATTTCCCGGTGGAGTTGTTCGATGGATCCGGTCATTTTGTCATGTGGCAAGGCGAGGTGTTAGACGCTTTAATCCAACAAGATCTAGACATCGTCATTGAGGAAGAAAAGCCCGAATATATGGAGGAGAAAGAATGGGGAACAATCAATCGTTTGGCGTGCAGCACGATTCGATCTTGTCTTTCCAGGGAGCAGAAGTATGGATACAAAAACGAGACTTCTGCAAGTAAGATGTGGAAAGCTTTGGAGGAAACATTCCTGAAGAAAAGCTCTCAGAATCGTCTCCACATGAAGAAAAGATTGTTCAGATTTGATTATCAACCAGGCACCAGTATGAATGAACATATCACTGCGTTCAATGAGCTAGTGGAAGACTTATTGGGCATGGATGAAACCTTCAAAGATGAAGATTTGGCTTTGATGTTGTTTTCATCTCTTCCAGATGAATTTGAGCACCTTGAGACAATGTTACTTCATGGTAAGGATAATGTTACCCTTAAAGATGTAACTGCTGCTTTGTATAGTTATGAACTCAGGAAGAAAACCAAGAAAGAGAGCAAGTACGAAGCAGCTGAGGCCATGATGGAAATAGGTCGCTCGAAAAGTCAAAAGCCAAAGTGGAGAGTGTAACACCCCCAACCCGTATCCGACCCGGATACGAGTCCGAAGTGTCACATTGATTTTTCAAACATTTATTCGTATAAAATAGTGAGTAATTTAAAACTTTTGTACATGTAACTTATTCAAAATATTTCCAGAACTATTCAGGGCTTACATGTTTTTGACAAAACCGATCAGAGCATATACAATTCAAAAACGTTAATTACATGCCAACTATTTGCAATGTACAGAATACATCTAATTCAAGAGATCTTTTCTGATCTGATCTTCGGTAAGAAGTAACTGACCTGTCTTGTTCCTCTTTCTTCCTCTTTTCGCTTTCCATACCTACGTGTGAAACAATCACACGCTAAGTCGAAGACTTAGTGAGGCATAACGACTTATAATGCACTTCATAACATATATCAATACATGCATGTTTTGTTCTATCATGTTATACCAATTCCATACATTCATTCTATCATATAAAATCATATCAGATTAATTACAGTACATACATACATACACATAACTCATCATTAACAGTTTATCATGTAATCACATACTTTTATTGTTAACCTTTTCAATCAAACACTATACACACACAACATCATATGGTTCACGTAACACATTTCAAACCACTTATAAACCCATCGTATACATATCACATTCAGTATGCTTGTTTAATCACTTTATTAGCCCATGTACACTAGTGAGAACTTAAGGTATGTGAGTACATTGAGGTTGTGCACACATATGCTGTCACCACAGCTCGATCAATGTCCCAAAGGACCAGTCCATAGATTCCGAAGAACCTAGGTAATCAGTCCATATGTCCCGAAGGACATAGGTAAACAGTCCGTATGTTCCGAAGAACATAGGTAAACAGTCCGTATGTTCCGAAGAACATAGGTAAACAGTCCATATGTCCCAAAGAACATAGGTAAACAGTCCATATGTCCCGAAGAACATAGGTAAACCCTCGACCCTTGGCATGCCAACTATACCCCTAGCTCTCATATCACATAACATGGGCATTATCATTTATAACAGTTCACATTACTTATTCATATTCTTTCTCTTATAACCACATAGCTTTTCTTTTCAGTCACGTATCACATGTACGTGTAAACATATATCTAATATCATATGTTGCATGTAATCACATAGATCTTATCTCATAACATATACTTGTTTTCACATATATATTTCATATCATTTCACATATACACTTTCATATCACATGCCATATAAGCTCATAGCTTCTTTCACATATACATGTAGTCACATAGCTTCTTTTCATATTCTCATGTTCACATATATCATGTCATATGGCTCATATCTTTCTCATGCAGTCACATAGTTCAGTTTCACATATGTTCATATATATATACATTACATAGCACATACTTCTCGTAACATTACATTCAAAAGCATGTTAACACATATAATCATGCATACATACAATTCATGTCCTTCATATACGTATAATCATATATTCATGCATTCTAACAGAGGAAATAGACTTGTCGCAAGTCTTGTTTCCATTTAGCACCATAAACTAATTAATATGCACTCACCTGGCCTCACTAGTCAATTCCAATCTCTTATCTTTCCCTTTGATCGATCTTACTTGTCAATGATTCCGGAACTCGTTTAGGCTCCGAATCTACATAATTATACAATTCAAGACAATTATTAGATACCTACACCTTTTAATTGGATACTAGCAACTTAAACGAACTTATTAAACCAATATTAACATTTTCCTATAGGGGGAATCGGTTCCCTCCTGTGGGGGTATCGGTTCCCCTCTGGCATTCTGGAATTCTATCGCTTGAAGGGGTATCGGTTCCCCTTGAATGGGTACCGATTCCCCTTGCCCAGAAATCATATTTTTAGCTCGAAAATCACTTCAATTTCTCTCAAACACTTCATATATCATCCCCTTTTCATTCTTAACTCTAGTACACATACTTAAACCAATCTATATTCATTTATTTCATCTTAAACCTTATAATTCTATTCTCCATATAGAATCCAATAATCATATCAAATTTTTCATGTTATTCAAACATAATTCTAATACTTCTAACTTCTTAATCTCATAGATGACAAGTCAAATTCAACTTAAAATTCAACTTATCAATTCTATTTCAAGATTTGATTCAAGAACTCAAAATCTTTAATCTCTTATATACCTTTCATCTTGTTGTTTTAGAACAAATTAAGCTTTCCTTAAGCTTAATTATCATCTAATAATCAAAACCCAACCTTGAATTGAACAAATAATCAACTAATGAAGAAACTTACCTTTGCCCTTGCTCTTACGGGAGGGGAAGAGAAAGGAAGAAGAAGATGAAATGCTTTCATCTTCTCATGTTTTTATCTCTTAATAAAGGGATAAAAATATCTTTCATGACAAATTACCATTTTTCCCTTCATTTCCTTTAACAATTATAAAATAACCTTCATCATATGTATCCAATAATCCTTGAACTATTTCATTCTTATACTTTAGTCACCAAATTCCAAAACTTTACAATTTGGTCACTAACCCGATATTGAGGATGTTACAAATCTCCCTTCCTTTTAAGAAAATTCGTCCTCGAATTTTTTCACTAAACATCTTATTAGTAACATATCTTCTAATGTTCTTATGTTGTTTCCCTGACTTATTCTTTCTTATCATCATAAGAAACTTACTTTTTAATCCTTTAGTTTTCCAACTATCTTTTTCGTTTATACACTCCTCTTCTGTTGCTTATCATATAAACAATACCAGTAATACCAATCCATTGTTGTCTTTTCTCTCATCAACTATGCATTTTTCCTTTGACCTTTCTAAATTCCATATAGTGTCACTCATCACGTTGACAGTACATCCATCTCATCACTCTATATCATAAATCCATCTATTTTCTTCATAACTCTCTAATTACTTTATAACCATACAAACTTGTATTTCGTCATCATTTGACCAAACACAACTTTAATCTTCTTCATTGTGATTACACATACTTTAAGGAGTCAAACAATATTTTCACATCACCTTGCACATTTTTTCGTGTTTCTATATCGAACTTATCATTTACACTTCCATACGAATCCTCACTTCATTCACTATATCACATTTACGTAATCAAAAATACAACTATATCCAATACAATTTCATCACAAATCTTGTCAGTCAACGCTAACTCTTTCATTCTAAAGTACAAATCCTTATCATCTCCACTTTTTCTTATACACAATACTATCCCTTTGTTTCAAATTCATAACTCTGATTTCATTCATATAATGTTACTTATCCTGTAGACAGTAACATCAATTCTTATCATCTATTGTACTTGTATTCCTTCAAACATACAAATATTTATCTTCTTCACCACAACACCTTACTATGATCAAACTATACAACTGTATCCAAATCCTCTTCATATTTGGTTATCATAACCTGTCAATATTATAATTCCATTACATTTTCATCACATACTCTTGTTAGCCAATGCGAACTCTTTCCATCTAGAATACAAACTCTTTTACAAACAATAACCGCGTCACTTGATCTTTTAATATCCTTATGGTGACACTCGTTCACCATAATCCATCTTATCCACATAATAACAAGCTTCTCAATTTAATTTCTCCACTATGGAGAAATGAACATCTTCTAG